GTCTATCGTTTTAATGATAAGTGGGATTCCTATTAATCAGTTTTCAATATAAGGTAGTGTTTATATCTGGAACATGGCCTTTAATCGCTCAGTTGAATATAGAGCAGCGCATGTGTAGGTGCAGAGATGGTACCTGCGCCTGAGTAGTCACCTCTGGCAGCTTTCTAGAGGATAAACATGTAAGTATGTGTATGCATTTCAATTTGACAGTTTATTCAACTGGTTACACCTTGCAGACTTTCTTTAAAGCATTTATTTCTTAGCGACAGTCTACTTGGCTAAAGCGTTTGAGTGGTTAATAGGTTTTACGTAACTCAATGTTTGCGTTATAGCAGTCACATGGAATGTTTAACACACTGTCGTCTCAGTTAAAGCGCATACTCCACGTATTATAGGTGCAGTGTACGCTATGGAAAGTCGAACAAAATTTATGGCATAACTTTTGTATGTCACGGAACGTAAATCTGCGGTAGAAAGTTCTCGAGTACGGCAACTTGGAGGAAGACACTATTGAAAATCACAATTTTGCATGTCTTTGTGTGGAAGAAGAAACATGGCCAACTCTTATACGTGGAAATCTCGTATGCGTTCACAAGCATCCCTGATGTGGCAGTTGCGTTTCAGTGCATGTTTGATCACAGATCCAGCTTTATCTTGAGGTTTCAAGCTTTTCCCAAATTGTTTCCAGAATAAATTCACTTCGAAAGTGCTCTCAAACCAGTTGAAAGCTGTCTGACACCAAATAAAGGGAAAATCATTTGTGGACGCATCAATTACCTCAGTACGCGACGCTGGCAGCTGCCCTGGCAGTATAAATTCTTACTAGCGCCATTTCCGCTCAGTGCGCTGGAGGCTAGCTTAGAAGAGGCATGGATTTCGCCAGCTGTCACTTACACATGCTAATAATAAACCAAAAGGTTATTTCTATGATCTTTGGAGCCTTTCAAGACAACAAGAAAGGGGCTTTAATTACACAGCTATACCAGCTAGCTGCAGTATCTTATCTTCAGAAAATTCTGCCGTACATGACTTGAAACAATATGGACAACTTGTGCTTCTTTATTGGAAGGTAGCACACAATTACAAGATAAAAACTCCGATCAATATAGGGCTCAGTGCAAATTTGCCCTTACTGTCTACCAAAAATCGCGCTACTCGACAAATACCCATAGCGTAGCGCTCTTCTTTTTCTTGAAAGGATTGTTTTCTCGTCAGAGCATGAAGGGAGCAATTGGTAAGAATATTTAGAATTATCAGCTCTTCTAACCAAAGTTCGTTCTGCACTTTCAATATGAACCTCATTATTGCACAATTGATTTTGCTAGAATTTTGCTTATTTACACATATGATACCACTCTTATGTCTAGACTCTTCATTTAGTTTGGTACTGGACGATGATATTAGATACTTATAAAAGACCACATACATCACATGATTCAAAAAAACCGTTTTTTGCCCACGTCTTATTCCATAGACTTTTCTTTTCAAAGATTAAAGAGATTTTTTTGCCATTTTGAGTTTAAACGTTGATTAACAGAGATAACTGAGAGTATACAATGTGTTTTCAAGTTAAAGATAGAGTTACTTAGAGCAAAAGATTGAATAATTTTCAAGGACTATATTTGTCATTCTCCACAAACTTTGTAAAGCATTTTCATTTTCATTGTCATGTTATCCTTATGAAAGGGATTCTACCTCATTGAAGTTACTTAATGAAACTAAGTCGTCCTATTCGTAAAAGATTATTTATCTCCACATTATAAGAGAAAACGTCTCCTGAAGCCATAACTTTTCTTTGGGTATCTTCATACCACAACGGATCGCGCATTGAGGACGCGAATGCGTTGCGGCGCCGCAGTCAAATACCATTTTGCTTGGGGTTCAGTACTCATCTTTCCGGCACACTTGCTGCCGACTTCGACAAACTTCAACACAACTTAAAAAAGAAAGCAAGTCAGATACCGGACGCGGAAAAGCTGGGATAGAGTGAAATTACGCCAAATTGGTACTTAACAAGTAACAATTTACAGTGAATACTGGCGTCATTCGACTCTACCCAGCTCTTCTTTACTTATTCTTCCAACTTTGATTTGCTTTCTTTGTGTTGTGTTAGAGTTCTCAGGAGTCGTCAGCAAGTGTGCCGGAAAGATGAGTACCGAAACAGCCAAAATGGTATTTGACTGTTTCGTACTCATCTTTCCGCTGCAACGCAACTGCCGCACCTTCACGTAGCCATTTGGGATCTCCATGTGCCTGTAAGAGTTATAGCGATTTCAATTGGCCAACCCTTATGAAGTATGGAAATACCCAAATGGCTACGTGATGCACCTGCCGCGACGCACTACCCGTGCAGCCAACTAATTATAGATTATGACATAATACGAAGCATCTGCTAAAAATCAAAGCTGTAGTTAAAATAGCTGCGCGCTTAATGTAATGCGCATGTTCTCTTATTCCAGCTTTTGTCAACTCTTACGTAAGATTTAAGTTTTTTTGACGTGCTGAAGGAAAAACCGAGGCCTTTCCAAAGGCGGATTGCACTTTCATCGCTATCCTAAAAAGATAATACAACATGCGACGGTGTCACAAAACTTTAGGGCACATCAATTACCACAGTTCAGTAGATGATTAATGTGTAGGACTCAACCGCACTCAAAAAGGTGACGGCCGCGACGCCGAAGTTCTCGTAGTTGTGACCGTCACCTTTTTTGGAAAATCAACTGTACATGCACCAGAGTACGTGGTGTAGCTGTTCACCCCAAAATCAATTCTGACGGAATCGATGCATTGCTTCTACTCGAATTTTTTGTTATTAAATGTTTCTTTCTTGATTCGCAATTCTTCTTCTTACTTAATCTTAGCACGCCTTTATTGGCTCATTGATTGGATTGATAACAGGATGCTACATTTTCGTAGAAAAGATGACACTTAAACGTGCACCATTTGAACAGTACAAGTAACAAGCAGATCGAATTCAAAATGCATAACCTTCTTGATTGAAAGCATGCATTCAGATTTCTTCAAAAAATGTTTCTTCAAAGAACACTTTGCGAGTTTAAAGTACAATTGATAGAAGGACTTTTTTGAAAATTTATATTCTATGACACTTGAACACATGCAAAGTTTATTACATCGTTCATACAAATTCATCATATTATTAGGCAGGAAAAAAAATAATTTGGTGCGAAAATAAACGAGAAAAAGGACAAGAGAAAGAGCAATTGAACGAGAACGAATGTGAGAGGAAAGGACCATAATCTGTGAACTCGTAATTTCTCGAGACTACACGTCAACAATTGATTTCAGAATAGGATCGTCTATGCTTTAAAAGAAATCAGTACAACGAAAGGGAGTAAAAAACAAAGTTGTCTTAGTAACAAATCTCACCAGGTTTCGCGTACCCACTAAATTTCTTCGGAACAGATCTCGTCAGTGTGTCTAACAAAACTAGAACTCTAAGCAATAAAATACTATGGTTAACTGTCGTCTCTTTATGGCGCACAGCGAGAAATCATTTACAGACAAAAACTCTACGTTTGAGTGATAAACCCTGAGTATAAATGTCATGCTCAAGCAGTATACATATCACTACGCTAGATTTCTACTTTTATGATGTACCAGTCAACATGCTTATGCACCAAATAATGAAGAGAAAAG